ATCATGTGGTGGGTGCGTGCTCCTTCCCTCTCCCTCTCTCTCCAAAAGTCTCATATTTTGTTTGGTTACTTATGGTTAAAGTTAGGGCTGGGTAGGGGTTAAGATTGTCATGTTGGGATTGGAGTTTTCCCCCACAGAAATTAGTCCCCATATGGATATAATTACAAACCTGTGTGCGTACGTGCGTACGTGCGTACGTGTGTGTGTTTGTGCATGTGTGTGTGTGTGTGTGTGTGTGTAGCTTACATGTTATCCCTGCATTTAATATGTTTTCTCTAGATACTCCAGTAAGACAAAGTGCTGCACTTTGGCACACTGACATTTTTGGTAAATTCCCATAGTGTGAAAGTCCGCGCCTTGCAGTGAGCTGGCATCAAATCCACGGTATCCTGTGTTTAATCGTAAGCTGTGAAGCGGTTATGAGAAATGCATGGGTGGTTTTGCATAGCCAATCAAATATCTGACATCAGTTCACAGTAGTTCTTATTTTTTCTCTGTGTGCATAAAACAATTACAATAATGCCACAAAATGCTGCATGCAGCTGTGACATTACAGCTGGCGCATTCGCAGCCTGAAATCGTTACTCCGCCTCACGCGCGTCTACGCCTTGTGGCAAAGGAAACTTCCAACTGTTTTCTTTCCAAATCAATAACAGCACCTAAAAATTAAGTACAAAATATTTATCATAGTACATTTATGTTCCTCTGGGCTTATGTGGTCAAGACTGCTCGGCTAAAGTAATGTGGCTGTCAGAATTATGCTGGCTGAAGTTTATTAAGGGATAACAATTCACCTTAAAAAATGATACAATTGAGAACAAGACTGTAATGAGCTGTAATGATTTCTCTAAACTGCAGATCAAGGAGAATTTTTATGCCCCTGTGCAATGAAAAATGCCAATTACTGTTATCTTTGCAACGGCAAAGTTTCAAGAAAATTATATATATATATATATATATATATGCATAATTATAGTGCTGAGGAAAAAGAAGTCTTCCTTGTCAAACTCAAAACAGCAGTTTATCTCCTAGTTTAACAGCAAGCCACACATAGTTCATTAGCTATGAGATAGTAGCACCCTCGCTGACAATATGCTGTATGCTATGAGACATCCAGAAATCCAGAATCAAGACCTGCCTTTTCACAAAGGAGGGCGGAAGAGCAGGATTTTGATCATTTCGGCTCACTCCTGTGTTTACCCATAACATGCTTATTGGATTAAAACGCCATATAAGGTTATGTGCTCCAGTTTGGTCCAATGATGCATTGTGGGATACTGACAGACTGTTGTATATAATACTCTTTTTAGCTTGAGTGCTAAAATCGCTTCACTTCACCGGTGACATGGTACCTTGTCTTTCTATTTTGATATGACTTATCTCGGGTCATTGGGAGCGTAGTCTGGGGGGCAAATGGCACGAGTCCGGCCAGCATGCCAGTCCGTTGTAGGACACATACATGCACATAGTCATACATGATGAGTAATTTAGAACCACCAGCCTGCATTGTGTCTGAGGGTGAAACTGCCGCCTTATGAAGCTTTTTGCTTGTCTAGAGGGCTGAAGACTGCATATCGGTTTACAAATGTCTACAAATGGTTGCCTCTTTGTTACTGGTCACTGCATTCATTCACTTGACTTTATCGTGGTTGATTTAGTGATTGTAAGGAACCTGAATATTTTGGAATTTTAGAAAGGTAAGTATCGTCTTCAGAATCAGTAATTTACTTCAATGGCCACCATAGAGGGTACTCTGTCATTTTACATCAAAATGAAAGAACAAACATTCTGAATTATAATGTGAATTTGGTTTTATAGAAATGTCCAATTTTTTCAGACTTCTGATAATACGGGGACCCGTGTCAAACATTTCTTTAGCAGTGAAGAGAAGCGACTGATCCACCACAGGAGGGAGAGAATTGGGCAAATCAATAAGCAGCTTCAAAAAAGCCCCTTTAAAGATCAATAGCTCTTACTCGTCATTGATCATTGTATGCCAGAGAATGAAAGAGAAAGACAAACAATGCTGGTGTGTTTGGAGCAAATGGTCTCTGGTCAATCTCTCTCTCTCTCTGCTTCCTTAAGAAGCGATTACCCAGCATGCCCCAGCAGCAGCACACGCCCAGGCTCGGACAGTGTCGACCCATGAAACCAGGGCCCAGTTGGTGCCTTTTCACTGGCAGAGATCCGCACTGACAGGGGCAGACTGACTTCTCTGTGGGCCTAGGCTGCCACAGCTAGGGAGCCCCCAATGTGAGCCGTGTGAGTCATTTTTTGGAACCAAAAGGGAAATGCGAGGGAGTTAAAACGATGGAGCAGCAGTATGTTAATCAAAATGCCGGATGCCGGCAGAAAAACTTAGCGATCAGGGTGGCAGCGCGAATGCTATCGGTAAAATTTGCCGATGAGGGGGTGGGGGGGTATTGTGCCGGCTGTGGCTGTTAGCTGTAGCCTAAGATAGCCTTTGCCTTACTCCGCCCTGAGGCTACGGTTAGTCTTGAGTTTTTGCATACGTTCGTTTAATGGTGTCTCTCCACGTCTGTTCACAATCTATCAACCACTCTAGCGGCTTAGTATCAAAGATATGGGAGACGTGATGTTAGATTTGTGTCTTTGTGTTTTTAAATTCTGTTAGGCTACTTTGAGCTGGTTCACTTGCACAAGCTGGGTTGCTCGAAGTAGGAAACGACCATTAATGCTGTGCGGGGGGGACACTTTCATGAAAACTGCTGCTAAAATTCTGTCTGGAAATCCTGTCTTCACGGGGCCCCCAGTTTCTGGGGCCCCAGGTGGCTGCTTTCCGATGTAAGTCCTCCCCTGTGCACCGAAGTCTAGGAGGGTGGGGGAGCCCTTTGCTGTGCCCCTGTCGAGTCACGTGCCACTCTGGCGGGTGACTGGGGGAGATGGGCATCTGACAGGAGGTGTCGGTGCCTCAGAATTGTCACCCATCCAGCCAGCTGATGACTGAACACCACATTAGTGCATGTATTGGCTTCACAGGTCATTAAACAAGGTAAGTATCAACGTGTCGCACAGGGCTGCACACTGAGTAATAGTGTCACAGCCCAGCTCTGGAACATTCTGGTTAGCAGCACTCATCTGAACTGTTTCCCTTCTTTCACATATACCTCCCAAAATTTACTTCTTTTTTTTGATCTTGTTGGCTTGAGAACAGTCCTAACTTCCTCAGCTGAAATACTGAAAATATATATATATTTATATTATTTGCAAAAGAAGCTGAACCAAATGTCACTGATTTGAAAAGCACAAAAAAGCGCAACAGGAAAAGAGATAAAACATGACAAGCAAATGCAGTTAAAAAAATATCATTTGAAACTGAAATGGCTACTGCAAAACAGAATGGTGAATGTTATATGAAATAGGAACTGAAGACTAACAAGATTTTGATCAGAATTAAATTGGAAACATGCTCATTATTTTCCAATGAGAAGAACTGAGGCTTCTCCCTGTCATAGTGAGAGCAGCGCATTCAGTAATCACCACATCCTGGTTAAAACTGCTCTTCAGATATGTCAGAATTCTGCACCGTGCGGTTAAGGAGCACAGCACAGAAGTCTGCATGCATTCTATTGTTGAATTTACATAAATCCTCATTTAGGACATCATATTGTGTTGTGCTCTAAACCACACATAGAACCTCACAGCCCCCCCAAACCCCAGGCACATAACCCTGAACAAAACGAGCATGCTTCTTTATTTTATCCCCCCCACAAAAAAAAAAACCCTAAGTTGTGTCTGCAGACTTTCCCCTGAGATGGCACAAAAGGAGAAAAAAGTCAGGAGAGAGTGAAAAAAGGCTCCCTCGACTCAACTGAGATCCAAGGCAAAAGTTGAGAAGGTTTTGTAAACACCAGAAAATGCTGATTGTTAAATATTTGAAAGACGGAATGCAAAGCCAATAAATATTTCCACTGTACGCTGCTTTATGGGCTACACCGTGCGGCTGGCTTGCAGGGCTCGGCGGGCAAACGGCCAGTGCCATCCTGACAGCATCTCTCCACACCCCCCGCACGGCCCCCGGCACCTCACCGTCTGTGCTCCACGCGCCTCTTTATTTATTCATCTTATTTTCTTCCCCAGCACTTGCTCTACGGTTCCTATTCATTTCCCACACTTTGTCAAGCGAGCGCTATTGCTGAGATGTAATCTTCCACGGGGCTCGACATTGTTTCATCTTAATTTTACTGCGGAAGTTTCCAGAGCCCCAGGAAAATGACTTGGTGGTAAATTCTCCTGAAAATATGTTACTATTACTGCCTGATCGGTGTGCAATTTGCGCTGTGAACTTAAGATGGGGCCTGTTTAAATCCTTCTTGCATAAAATGTGCAATATTAGCTTTTGTGTTTTCCTGCGGTATCTCAACCCCGACTGCTTTTCAAGCAGTGCACACAGATGCATAACTTTTAATGATGTGTCTGTCATTTTATTTATTTCACCTTTTTTGGGCCACAAAGCTAAAAGCTACAGTAACAGCTTGCCTGGACCTCAGATTTACCATAATGCTAATGTCTTTAAGAGCAATTAACTACATACTGACAATGATGCTCTGTATTATGTTTACTCAGGAGTTCATATTCCCGTTCCTAAAATGTCACCAGAGCCGTGGTACCTGTTCACAGTCACCGTAATCGTGTTTCAGAACAGGATATAATCATCCACAAAGCTGGTGATGACAGTCTGTACTAATCTGCTTCGCGGGTCTTTTGCAATCCGTTCACAGGCATCACAAGCTAACTGTGTGTCATTACAAGCTAATTCAGGAAGACTTACGATGTTAATGCCATTCTGAGCTATCCACAAATACAGCTACCATAAGAATGCTAACAGCAGTGATAAATGTATTGCTCTCCTAAAATCATTTATGTGCTTTATTAAGCAAGAAAGGGTCAGCGACCACGATATTTTTGTATTTTTGTCGACGTTGCTATTTTCAACCAGACAAAAGTCACCTTTTACTCGTACTTTTGCTTTGACTTACGCTGACAAGCATCTGTGGGAAGGGACCTCTGGAGTTTTCTGGCACGTTGATTGGTGGGATGACCCAGTCCCGCTTTTGCCGTCGCAGCCCACTGGAGCCCATCAGCCGTGTCCGTGGAAAAGTGATGACACTGGTCTGCGGCTGGGTGTCAGGAGTTGGTCTCTCTCCCTCTGCGATCTGCACCAAGGGAAGAATGACATCAGCCAATGACTGGGCCCCTCCTCCTTCGTACCTGATTCCGTGAGGCGGTTTTACCGAGAATCACTGTTTTTAACCATCGACCTAATTCGGTGTGATCACGGTAGGATGCTGCAGTCTCCTCTGGGTTCCTTTTCGTTTACTTAGCTGAAACAACAGCTCAGAAGCAAAGTCAGCAGAAATGTACCCTTTCTTCCAAGAGTACCCAGACGTACATGGGCACTGCTGTTACACTCGTAAAGCAGGAAGCCTCCAGCCGAGCCAGAGCCTGTTAAGTGTAATGGCTGATGTCATTTCCTGTGGGTCCATGGATATTTGGTGAAGACCACAATTTGCACCATAGCAACAATGTTTCCGGATACGAAGCTTTATCAGAACAGCCAGATTTGGACATGGCAAATGGTTTACGGACATTCAGAGCTTCACGGTGTCTCACAATCCGCTTTGAAGCTCAGACTGGACGTTATATTAGTTCACAACTGCTCAATAGCTCAATGCAATGAAATAAAATAATCTGGAGCTCATTTCTAGCCTGCAAGGCACATTTAGTTTTGGTCAAAATTTCATGCAGCCTTTTCCATGTAGTTTAAATGGACGGAATGTTAAACATGCATCCCGGACAGATTCAATCAATTTCAATGTGCAGCATGGACAATTTAAAACGTTGGGTCTGCAACCTTTTCAGTCCGCCTCTATCTTCCACCGGAGGGTCGTGACAAGCCATCTCAATAATAATAATTCATAATGTTCCTGGGAATTTTCATACTGTCTAAGCCGCCGCAATTTAGAGCAGGTTAAATACATGACGGGGTGAAGATAACGTGTATCTAACATTATTTCCCGGAGGGGTGCTGAATCATTTGTTTTCATGTTTCCTTTTGTCAAAAGGCAGAAAATGAATACGGATGATGTAGAGCTAAATAGGTGAACTGCAGTCGCAAGTCCCAATATGACAGATCTGTCAGAGGTATGAAAATGAGATCAGCTCGTTAATTCACAGTGCACTCCACGAGACCCAATCACCATACATTTACATACAAAGAAGTCACACATCTGAATACTACCCTGCCCCCCCGTTTTGCGAGTAGCCCCCTGATGACAATATCAAGGTGCTGGTCGTCACCAGGCGTGCTGGGCCCCGCTATGCCTCAGGCTGTTTATCCGGCATGATCCCAATGTGATTTTCCAGCATTTTCTTTTGCGTTAGGAGATTCCGGGACGGCCTTGGGACACTGTGCCTTAAACCTCATCAGATGCTTGTTCAGGGGAAGTGGGTCAAACCATCAAATAAAATTTGTATGAAGTGAAACATATGTGTGTGTGAGTGGGGGGGGGGGGGGCTGCTCTGTGTGGTTACTAGCCTGAGGATAGATATGAAAGTTATTTCAAGATCTTGCTGTTACTGAGGGCCTGACTCATCAGGCAAGTTTCAGATGTAATGTAATATACACTCACCTAAAGGATTATTAGGAACACCTGTTCAATTTCTCATTAATGCAATTATCTAATCAACCAATCACATGGGAGTTGCTTCAATGCATTTAGGGGTGTGGTCCTGGTCAAGACAATCTCCTGAACTCCAAACTGAATGTCAGAATGGGAAAGAAAGGTGATTTAAGCAATTTTGAGCGTGGCATGGTTGTTGGTGCCAGACGGGCCGGTCTGAGTATTTCACAATCTGCTCAGTTACTGGGATTTTCACGCACAACCATTTCTAGGGTTTACAAAGAATGGTGTGCAAAGGGAAAAACATCCAGTATGCGGCAGTCCTGTGGGCGAAAATGCATTGTTGATGCTAGAGGTCAGAGGAGAATGGGCCGACTGATTCAAGCTGATAGAAGAGCAACTTTGACTGAAATAACCACTCCTTACAACCTAGGTATGCAGCAAAGCATTTGTGAAGCCACAACACGCACAACCTTGAGGCGGATGGGCTACAACAGCAGAAGACCCCACCGGGTACCACTCATCTTCACTACAAATAGGAAAAAGAGGCTACAATTTGCACGAGCTCACCAAAATTGCCTGGTCTGATGAGTCTCGATTTCTGTTGAGACATTCAAATGGTAGAGTCAGAATTTGGCGTAAACAGAATGAGAACATGGATCCATCATGCCTTGTTACCACTGTGCAGGCTGGTGGTGGTGGTGTAATGGTGTGGGGGATGTTTTCTTGGCACACTTTAGGCCCCTTAGTGCCAATTGGGCATCGTTTAAATGCCACGGTCTACCTGAGCATTGTTTCTGACCATGTCCATCCCTTTATGACCACCATGTACCCATCCTCTGATGGCTACTTCCAGCAGGATAATGCACCATGTCACAAAGCTCGAATCATTTCAAATTGGTTTCTTGAACATGACAATGAGTTCACTGTACTAAAATGGCCCCCACACTCACCAGATCTCAACCCAATAGAGCATCTTTGGGATGTGCTGGAACAGGAGCTTCGTGCCCTGGATGTGCATCCCACAAATCTCCATCAACTGCAAGATGCTATCCTATCAATATGGGCCAACATTTCTAAAGAATGCTTTCAGCACCTTGTTGAATCAATGCCACGTAGAATTAAGGCAGTTCTGAAGGCGAAAGGGGGTCAAACACCGTATTAGTATGATGTTCCTAATAATCCTTTAGGTGAGTGTACTTTATCTCTGTTAATTTGAGTGTGTGTGTATGCATGGTCAATCCTTCACCTTTCCATCATCACATGAAGGGCACTAATTTCTCACTTTGGCTTAAACCTTCAAATAACGAAAACAGTTAAATGAATTTTAGGCTCAAAGCAGTTTTGTTCTTCCTGGTGACATCACTGTGTATGCAATAGATGACCGCAGCCTTCGCTAGCAGCAGACGCGTCCCTCAGTGGTCTTGTGGCTGGGCACTCGCGCGTTCCCAACGCGCCAGAGTAAGTGGCAGTTAATCCCGCCATTCCTGGGTGCCCAGAAAACTGCTTCCAGCCCAAATGAACATCTTTCCGAAGCGCTGTTTCAATATTGTTTACAACGCATATGGTATGCCTTAAGAGGGCAAAGTCCGCCAAGCGAAATCCACATGGGCCAGCCTATGGATGCAGACGCGGCCCGGCAGATGTCAGCCAAAGCCAGGCAAACACATCCTTTTTTTCCCCTCCTGTGTAAGTTGGCTTGGCAAGTTGGGCTCCAAGCCTGTCTGTTCTAGTTGATATTGCACCTCTGATAATTCCAGCGCAGGCCACAGAATGGGGAGCAGATGTGCGGCCCCGATACAAACTCTCACGCTCCAGCTGCTCGTCGCTGCGCCTCACCGGTGCCCGCGCCGAGACTGGGGACTCGCTCCGACGACTTCCTGTGGGCCATGATGGACAGGTGGCGGGGTGAGAAAAGGAGAAGCCGTGCCCGTGTGCCCGTGAGAGGGACCCAGTCCTGATCCTGGTGCCAAGCTGCATGTGAACATGCCGGAATCACATCCGTGCTTGCTGCCTAAACACTGATAATGCACTTATCTCCATAAACAGCCTCCGACCCCCCCCTGCTCACCCCACCACACGTAAACACTGCTGACACATCAGATGGGCCATCTGAAGAGTTCGGACGAGCCAAAATAGGAATATGTGGGGCCAGCTGAAGGGATGACAGCGACATTAGCTGTCTACCATCATCTGCTGGGCTCTCCTGAGGAAATTCAGCCTGAGCGAAGATCTAAGCCCCTCATTCGGCCGACGTGTTTTGCACAGACACGCACGACATTCCGACACTGTAACGATGTTTCTGGGAACAGTGGGCTGAGGAACGTTAAAAGAAGCTGAAGGAAAAGAAAAACAGAAAGACTCTAACAAAATATCTCAAAGCCAATATATGCTTTATGTTGGCCGAGTAATATAATAAAGTCAACAGACATGCATGCTGCTGTGGCTCCCATCCTCATCTGTACTGAGAACAGGAATCAGCCAGTGTGAAATAATGCAAGCCTGCATCTCCATCTCCGGACCGGCAGAGTCCGCTGGCCCGCTGCCCCCCCCCCCACCCGCAGCCAGACGGGCTTTGGTACCCGTGAGGCCGTTCTGTGGCCGCACACACATCTGTAAGCGATTATTCAGCAGCTCACCGCACAGATACCTACCCCCACATTGAAATGTGCTGTTTGTGGATCCATTTCTGCTTCATGCTCCTAGCTGGTCCAGAACTAGCCAGGGACCTTCTCAGCGTTCCTCTTTTCCCTGGTCTATATGAGGCTGAATCTCTAATCCAGTGTTTCCCAATCTGGTCCTCAGGGACCCACAGTAAGCCAACGTTTTTGCTCCCTGCCAGCTCCCTACCAGTCAATCCATGTTTGCACTCTCTCCCAGCTCCCTTCTAGACAGTCCATGATTTTGCTCCCTCCCAGTTCCCTACCAGTCAATCCAGGTTTTTGTTCCCTCCCAGCTCCCTGCCAGACCATCCACGCTTTTGCTCCCTCCCAGCTCCCTACCAGTCAGTCCACGTTTCTGTGGACTGCAAAATCATGGACTCTCTGTGGGTCCCCAGGGACCAGACTGGGAAACACTGCTCTCATCCTGTCATTCTAGGAGCTTGAAAGGCTGCCAGGGGATCCATCAGGTGGACATACGATAAGAAGGAGAGATTTCAGCTTTTCATTTTGTTCTTTCTTAATAAATTGCTGGACTCATACAGTATGTCACTATGTGGGTATATTTCCAAGTGCTCCCTGTCCTGTGCCTATAGCATTCCTGCAGGACAGTTACACCATGACCTCTGCCACTGGGAATTCATCACAGCTTCCCATGGATTTCCTTTTATAAAACTCAGGCATTTCACGCTTTCGGGACGAGCCGGCATGACGAAGAGCCACAGATGCCCACAAGCTGGTGCTCAGCATCTGGGTTCCCTGGCGGAGGATCCTCGCGTTCCCAGGCTCTGCTTCCTGTCGCCCTGTCGCTACAGGCTGATGGAGGTTAACTGCATCCACCCACCTCCCTTTTACCGTGCGGCGTGAGGGCGCGTTGCTATGGGGAATTTGTGGTTTCCTGCCAAGACAATTGTGCGCTGATAAATAAGCAAACAGGAAAACAAACAAAAATAACAGAGTAAACACTGTGCCGGAGCCCAGCCGCCCACACAGACCTGGGCTGGAAACGCCGGCTGTGCTGAAAGCCAGGTGGGATCTACAGTGGACAGACAACTGTGTCCTTGGGGACACACACACAGGCTAGTGGGACAGACTCCCAGCAGTGGGACAGAGACCTTGCCACTTCCCTTGTTCCCGACAAGATGACTCCTGTGTCTCTGTGGCCTATGGGGGACCGACTCTCCCTGCGGAGCATCTGAGGCATTCCAAACAGCGGCCAAAGGTGGCACCGAGCCCAGAATCTTGGCAAAGCGCATAGTTCGATCTCTGTCACACTGCAGAGATGCCGACACCCCCCCCCCCCCCAGCTATGGCCAAGGGCTTCCTTTAAACCGCAAAGACTACGGAAAGGAAAGACAGAATTAATAAAACCAAGGAGGCCCAAACAACCGCTGTCTCTCTGAAGTCTATCGAGCACAGACACTAGATAACAGCCCATCACAGCCCCCCCCCCCCCCCACTCCGCCAACCATAAGGCTGGAGCGAAGAAAGAGAGAGCGGCATGAAATCAATCATGAGTATTTTTAGCCTCTACCTGTGTGATGCGGTAGCTTAAATAAATAAAGCAGAGGGCCGTCAGTGAGCCCGCTGTCCCCTCCGGCGGAGTGCACGGTCACGGCGAGTTAGGGAGGCGGCCCTGCAACACAGATCACTTTCAACGTGGCCGCCAGAGCCGTTAAACGAAGCGTTAATTGGAATTAGGAGTGTGAGGCCTTGGCAGCGCGTGGGGCCCGTAAGCGATACCCACACTGCGTTGTTAATCAGCCAGGGTAATTCTGTGCTCCGGATACCATGAAATATTTGTCAGCTGCTTCTGTGCTCTTCTTAAACTGCACTGTGACGGCCCACTAATTGCACACTGTACGTTGCTCTTATTTAATCCGATTGCTCCCAGTGATTCCAACTCGGAGATATTCACTTCCAAGTGGGGAAAGAAAGTTTTAATGGCTGTGACCCTTGATGACCCAGTCTGACCTTTTCCTGTGTATCCTGGTGCAGAATTATAGAGCCAGGATCTCCCTGCTGTGATCTTAATGATCAAAGACTCTGAAATCGATTACTTTCCCTTGGTGCACATCAGTCTCAACGTCGGACATTAAGGTCTGAGAGCTGATACTTAATTCACCAACGAGACTCCCTGGAGAGTGTGTGCCCCTCTTGGGGTAGGGATATGGCGTATTGAGGACACTAATAATAAGAAAACAGCATTTACATCTATGGAAGAACACATTAAGGTTTTGCTTTCAGTTGATCAATTTTGTTTGCTTTCCAAACGCGCCAGAGCGGATGCCAGTGGTGCGGGGGCCGCGGGGGCCGGGGGGGCCGGGGAGGCAGAGATGGGCCAAAACAAGTTCAAACGCACTCTGTCTGGCTCCTGAGCACACAGCAGACTGCGTTAACATTAACGCCAACAGTCTGTCACCACGGCAACGCTGCTTTTCCAGATGGGAAATCAACTCAACCTTCCTCTCGGAAGACGGAGTTACAGAATGCCGGCGGAAAACGATGACAGTGAGCGTGCGCCCCAGTGGGGCTGCAGTGACAGGGCACAAGGCCCCCCCACCTCGCCACAGTCACCCCACTGGCAGGGCTGACTAAAGGATTTTATGGGTCCCATCTTTCTACTTATTTATCTGTTAGAGATGATGTAGTAACGTCCTCCGGGCCGAATATGAGATATTAATCCATGATGGGGTCCCACAGTGACACAGACGGACCATGGGGAACTCCATAAAGCCTGCCTAATAGGAGCAGGGCGTCTCCCAGTCGCTGACATCCTCTGCCGTCGTCAGGTCACTGTGAGCGTGAGGATGGCACAGCGCCAGTGGGAAGGACAGAGCGGGCCGAGTGCCTCTGCTTCTGCTGCCTCGCTTCAGCGGGATAAACCAAGGGTGTGACCCTGAGCGTTCTATGACAGACCACGCGGTACCGAGACAGTGAGAGAACCCTGAAAAGAACAAATTTGGAGGGACGAGAAGCTCCTAAGCAGGCACGGATTTATTTCACATAAGTAGGGAAAAAAACACCATAGCGTATTAGCATTGGTTTCTGTTGCTAATACTTTACTTAAAGTACTCATGAATAATGCATCTCAGAAACCTTCATGTTGCATTATAAATGCATTCATAAAGCATTATAAAGCATTTATATAACTATAAAAAGACATAACACATTATAACCATGTTTATTATGCATTATGCCTGCTTTATGAAGCTCTTTTTGGTTTATACTGACCATTATAATGCATTATAAAAGTAATTATAGTGCACAGATGAGTTTCATAAAGCTGTCATAAACATGGCTATAAAGTTTTATAAATATTTATAGTCATGTTTATAATACTTAATGAATGCATTTATAATGCATTATGAAGGTATCTATAATGCATTACGATGACTTAATTAAAGTGTCAGCAGAGTGCTATTATGTGCTGTACTAAATTTAGTCAGATTTTGCATAACAAGTGCAGTAACAGCCTATTGGTGCAATAACAGAGTTATTTTCACTTTTGTGTTGGGGGATGTGAGAAAGGTGGCGGATTGCGAGGGCGGCGCTTACACGCGCAGTGGGCGCAGTGGGTGGGGGCGGGGAGTATCCTGCCAAGGCCAGTTTGATGGTGGTCTCCCAGACTGGCATGTCCGGACTGCTGCGGGCCGTCACCATGAACTGCATGGGCTCCAGGAGGCTGGAGACATCTCTCTCCGCGTAGATGGAGCCGTCCTTCCGCACTTTGAAGCTTGGGTCACTGCTCTCGAACCCCACGGCCTCGTCCTCCCTGCAGCTGTCAAACTTGACTGAGGAGAGGGACCAAATTGGGGCATAGGGGGGAGGAGAGAAAAGAGGCAGAGCATTGGAGACGAGATCAGGCAGCTGAAAAGGTCCCGGCTCGCACCGCACTGTGAAGAGGATCAGGCCTCAGCTTATCATACTCTGCTGTGAATAGTACAACTACTTTCAAGTGTTCGCTGCAGACATGCTGCCTGTTTGCACAGCCACTCCTCGTCTAAATTGATTCCTCTGTTCTTTTTTATCTTTTAATTGGATGTGCGAAAATACCATATTGATGTGCGAACCTTTCTTATAAAGTGACGGGAAAAAAAAGAAAACAAAGTGGGTCTTTGCCTCCATGGTGCTCAAGTGCTGCTGTTTGACAAAGATTTTCAGATTATGACAAACATCATGGCACACAAACACGGGCATACTACAATCACAAACGGAAGAAATAGGCTTCCCAGCAATGGGCAACCACAGCCGCACTGCGCACTGAGTGGCCCATGATGCAGAGCGTCAGATCTATAATTGTGTCAAGGGATTCTTCAATTTATTAAAAGCTTTCACTTTACTGCGATGGTCAATAAAAAACATGTGTATGGCAGAGAGGTCGTCACTGCTATTAAAGGGGATCATTAACACAGTTTTCTGTGGAAGCAGCTCTTCAGCACAGTTTATTAAAACGAGTAGAAGGCAACGTATTAACAAACCAAATGTCGGGGAAGGCTACCCCACGGTCCACTGCGCTTATTATTGATCAAAATTAAGAGCTAATGAGCAGCACATTAGCATGAAACCAGGACAGTGGCCTCTATCCAAACCAGAGAGAAGAGAGCAGAAAAAATATATGCGTAATAATTTTTCTTTTTATCATTACACCATAACACACATACCTGCTATGTCGTTTACTTAAAAATGCACTTAATTACAAGATTCCCTGTCAGAGCGATGGCTCCAGTGTGCACATGCAGTGACTGAGCTCAGATTCCACTTCTCCACACCAAAGGCAGTGAGCCAAACTGCATCGACCAGTAAGGATACAAGCTCAAAACTTGACAACACTGCCCCCTTCTCACATTGGTCTTCATTCAGGCCTTTGGCTGCCCTCCTGACAAAGGGTTTGTTCGTTTATGTCCAGAGAGTACAAGTCCAGACCAAGGTTTTGTTTTAACCATCCAGTTTTATAGTCACAGACTGCTCAACTGGTTGGTTGAAACAAAACCTTGGTGTGGATTTGTACTTTCTGGACCTGAACTGTCTGTAATGGATTACTTTTGTGAGTAACTTCCCCAACACTGGCAACAGCCTTATTTCCCATCTGAATGTTTACCACAAAAAGGATCTTATTCCATTTCTCTTACCAATGTAGCAGTTCCAGAGGGACAGTGTCGCCCAAGTGAAGGCAGTTGCACTGACCACATTACCAACGAGGCTATGAAGAAGGCGACCATGACTGCAGCCATATTACTGAGCCCATCTTTCACTTATCAAGTATTCATTGCAGGGCCCGACTGAAATATCGGTTGACCTATAAAATCAGCTGATACTAAGATTCCACAAATTTATCGCTTATAAAGCACTGATGATCTACCCGTCCATCGTTGCACCAATGTCTTGTCCACTGCAGGGTAATAGGATAAAGCATTAATAACGTCTCTATAAACATTTATGATGAGAAAAAGGAGCTCTCCTACTGGAGAAAATGCTGAGTAGATATGCTTCCTGCACATCACTCACTCACCACTCTCTGCCTTATTTGTGTTACTGCTCAGTCTATGGTGGGCCACGATAGAATGTGGGTGATTATATGTGTTATATGTACAGGCCACGGGAAATCCACTGGCCATGAGTTCCATTTACAGGTTAAAGTAGGATAAGAAAGGTGAGATGTGGACAAACCAGCTATGGATGTAGACTTGTAGTGACAGTGAAAAGCAAATATATAACAAAGCACCGAAAATCCGGAGAGGGTTAGGCAAGATCAGAGCTCGTTATCAAACACAAAGTCATACATCATACAAACGTGTTGTTAAGTGATTGTCTGGGAATAGAAGGATTGTATTATACTGTCCAAAAATTTAGGTCTGAAAGTAGTTTATTTGTGTGCAAACACATCACTTGCAAGCTGCTTCTCTCAAGCAGAACAGACAATGTTGCTTTCAGTTGAGAGTTTTACTTTTGTTTATATTTGCATTCTAAGACTGAGTTTATGCTCTTTATTTGAGTTTGAAAATTGATACAATATCAATCAGGACAGCCCTATTTAAAACTTGCTGTCATTTTTGAACATTTCAAATTATATTGGCCATTATTATTGTTTTTGGAATTTTTAGCTCCTTAAACTTTGAAAAAAAAAATTCATATAGGTTGGGCCCTAACCTACAGTATTGCTATCTGATCATGTAGCCTGTGCTTAATGACGCAAGTGGATGCCACAGGTCCGTTAAGTGGCATTAAACAGCAGCCAACTCTGTTTGCCTAAGAGTGTCAGAGGCTCTATTTAAAGACACTATCCAGTGAGCCCCTTTTCTAACACTTGTCTAAAGGCACACCATCCAATTACTCCTTTTCTAACACCTATCTAAAGGCACACTGTCCAATGAAATTGCTCCCTTTCAAACACCTGTCTAAAGGCCCACCATTCAATGAGATCATTCCCTTTGTAACACCTGCCTAAAGCCACATCATCCAATGAAATTTCTCCCTTTCTAACACTTGTCTAAATGCACACCATCCAATGAGATCACTCCCTTTTTAACACCTGTCTAAAGGCACACCATCCAATGAGATCACTCCCTTTCTAACACCTGTCTAAAGGCACACCATCCAATGAGATCANTAACACCTGTCTAAAGGCACACCATCCAATGAGATCACTCCCTTTCTAACACCTGTCTAAAGGCACACCATCCAATGAGATCATTCCCTTTCTAACACCTGTATAAAGGCACACCATCCAATGAGATCACTCCCTTTTTAACATCTGTCTAAAGGCACACCATCCAATGAGATCACTCCCTTTCTAACACCTGTCTATAGGCACACTATCCAATGAGATCACTCCCTTTCTAACACCTGTATAAAGGCACACCATCCAATGAGATCACTCCCTTTTTAACACCTGTCTAAAGGCACACCATCCAATGAGATCACTCCCATTCTAACACCTGTCTAAAGGCACACTATCCAATGAGATCACTCCCTTTCTAACACCTGTTCTCCTTGGGATCCTTAGGTACATTTGGGAACTTATCAATTCAGCAACCAAATTTCCTGGTGTTATGTCAAATATCTTGATGCTGGTGGATGAAGAGGTGTGTCAGGAAGTGGAAGAGGTCGAGAGGTCAATGCTCTGCCCTGGCCCAGCTGACTGCTCCCGCTCTGGCCGCACAGGAACTGTAAACCTAGAAGAACCTGTTTTCACAAATTTTGATCTTCATGGACTTTAGCAATCTGTGTTCATACTCTGAGTGACAGCAGACAGGGGTTTTCGTTATACCAGATTCACCGTGTTTCTGACAGATAAGCTGCATCACCCCCCCTCCCCGCCCCAAACCATCCTCGCCACCTCCTTCAGGGGAAGCTAAAGAAGGAGCTTTAAACTTGTGAATTTCAAATGCTATCTTGGGAAAGCTCACTCACACACGCCTTCTGTAACACAAAACCATCACGGAGGGGGAGACTGACAAGTTCACTGGTGCTTCTTGAGCTCATAACAAAGAGACCAGTGCCTATTTATAATTTCCAAGCTATAATAAGTCACAAAATGATGCAAGGAAAAAAAAAAAGTGTAACAAACAAGGGATTTCATACACTTGAGTATCTAAAGGCACTAATGGAACCATATGTTTGACATACACTGGATATTAATGTAAATAGGGCAAAGTCACTGAATGGCCTTTTCAGTATAAATTCCCCAAGTGAGTCTCCACAACCGCAGGCCACTAAAAGTGTAGCAGCAGGAGGCAGAGGCTCTGCAAGAACAAGCGAAGATGGGGACCTGACAGCATCTTAGCGACAAAAGACAAAGGTTACGTGAAAACCTCTTTGAGTCATCTGTCACTCAAGAAAAAACACGGCATATTTACTCATTATTATAATGCATTAAATGACAATACAACCCTATTAAGCACTAGCTTTTCTGTGATCACGTAAATTATATACTGATTTCCCTTATCACTTGTGTGCAAAGAGTTTGCATCAGCTGGTCCTCTGTTTCTGTGAAATTATCACACAGATGCTAAACATACCCTTTGAATGTCATTTATTCAGAATATTTTGCCACCCCATTTTCCCCCTAAAATATGCTTGGAGTTCAGTGGTATTGCCATTGAACTTAATAACATCTACATTACTACAGCAAAACCTTTAATGGGATTTACACTGTGTAAATAAACATAGAAATTATTCTGAAACAGACTAATGTCATGTAATGTAATGTAATTTTTCATTTCTAAATGCCATTTAAACAACTGAAGTATTTCAAAGTGCTGTACAAAGTTAACACAAACAGAACAAAAATAAGGAGAGTCCATAAATAATCACAATACAATACATCCAAGAAGGACTAAAATAGCAAAGTAGTAACTGACAACAGTCAGAACTAATAATAATTCAGAACTAATAGTAATTCTAAAACATGCATTAATGTTTAAATGGGCCCATTACTGTTTACATATTAATTCAAAGATCTTGGTTAAGCTCAGCTATAGAGAACTTAACAGACTCCGTTTCCCTTTTCCAAAAATCAATATGGACATGGAACGGCTAAAAGGGTTCGAGTAACAAAGGCATAAAATGTAACTATGTAATTAGAAGGACAGTAATTGGATATAAGAGCAGGTCTGAGATTCTCCAAATGCCAAATGAGCAATGAAATACCTGCACTGCAGAATTTCAGCAAAAAATGTTTTGCATTTAGACTCCTGTGTATCATCATGCACGAAGCATTTGCAGAGAAGAGGGCCGGTCGTCCAGGAGAAGGCAGCCTTGTTCAAATTTCTACATCAGCTGAACAAGCAAA